TTTTGTACTTTTTCGTAGGTTTTAAGAGCCTTAGTTCAGGTGATTCACAACAAAAGAATGAACGAATTTTTGTAAAGAACAAATCTGCCCCGCGAATTATAATTTAGATATTTTCAAATTTTGCTTTTATATAAATAGTTAGTTGGAGTCTTTTATACGAGTATCAATAATAAAAATTTACTAAACTACGTACATTACACACATGACGTTTCCTAAATATTCAAAGTGTTTAAAAATAATATTTGGAAAAAAAAGCTATAGATATACATCAGATCATGTACAACTATAATATTGTTATAATCCCCCTCATACAATTTTGTATTATGTTTTTTTTTTCTAATCTAGATATTTAATTGTCGTTTAGGTAAAATATTTGGCTTTTTCCGCAGGTTTTAAGAGTCTTAGTTCAGGTGATTCACAACAAAAGAACTAACGAATTTTTGTAAAGAACAAATCTGCCCCGCGAATTATAATTTAGATATTTTCAAATTAGCTGAAAAACTGAGCATAGATGGATACAGCCTTAACATCTATTAACATCTAGAGTACAATATTTTGTAATGATGATATATATATTAGTGTTTCATGGCAGAGCTTTAAGTTTTCGATACCAGGGAGCGGCTCGCCACCTTCTAAACTATCGCGAAGCACTAAAATGCAAGTACAACGAAAAATCATTACGATTTACATATGAATATTCCGTCAGTTTATTTTTTGGTTTTCGTGAAATCCCAGGGAGTAGCAAGGTGGTTTTGATGGACCGCCTTCAAATCACGAACCGGTAGCTAAGGAACTGTTTAACAGAACATTAGTATCTATGATTATGAAGATGGCTACAGTCGAGTAATAGCATTTTTCATACTTTGATGAATTGATGCCAGCTTTAGACACTGGATGTAACCACCTGACAACATCCACAACTAAAGCTTTGTAAAGTGTAAGATGTAAGGAGAGGGGTGGGGGACTATTAATCTGTATAGCTGACTTACCACCCCTAGTGGTGTATCATCCGAATTAAAACTTTGGAATGCAACATGGAAAGTAATGAATTAACAACCAAACAGCTTCAGGGGCACTTCAGAAATGTAACACAACCGACTTTCCAAATATTCATGATTGAGAATCAACTGTACAATGTGAATGCAGTCAGTGTGAAGTTGATACAATGAATTAAGAACGGTTGAATTGTACTATTCCGATGCATCTACATTATTCCAAAACAACAGACAAATAGTGATACACCTTCGCTAGAAAGCATATTTAATAAGAATGGTAATTAATTATGTTGAATTAAGGTTTATAACACCTCTTAGAGATAAAGTGGCAGCAGTATTCCTTTATTATATTCAGGAATGAAAAATAACAGTATTAGTTCATAACATTTTCATTAGTAATTAGTTTTGTTTAATCAATTTTTTACATTAATACATGTTTTGATATCCATTGGATGTTTGAAATTCATTAAATAAACTTCGTACTTGATAACCATTTTTTCCGTAGATAGTTTCCTTTATAACCCAAATTCTTGTTTTGTGTCTATATATTCTAACTCTAAAAGGCGATAAAAAATATTGCCTTATTATAACAGTATTGATATAATTTAAACAATCATTATATTCAAAGTTGCGTCTTTCATAAGCAACAATATTATTTCTTTTTATTAATGGTAAAAGATGTATATACCGTTTTGCTTATACAGGAATTAAGTAAACCCATATATTGTTGTATCATAACGAATCTTAGCTTCACAAAAATGTATAAACTGATATACAGGAAGAAGAGTTAAATTGAAGTCTGTATTTTACATTCACGAAATCTTAATCTAATACAAGTATTCTAGTTGAGATTTCCATCAAATATTAGGATGCATGATAATTTCTAGATATTCAAGTTGTTACATTTTCTATTGTTGTACAAGTACACGTCTGCCTAAAGTTGGTTGTACTTTCATAGATACATTTAGTCAAACCAGTATGAGCAATCAAAAGAGGAGTGTTTGTAATTATTCTGCACAGAGTATAAATACACATCCCCTTAGTTTTTTTTGTATTTAAATAGATATTGAAGTTCAGCTATTTCAAAATATTATTGAAATCCCTTTGCATATTATACATTGCCAAAGTAATAATATAATTACTTATTACTAAAGTAATGTCATCTACATACACAAATATAGTAATTTAAAGGAAATAGATTAACAATTTTGCGTTTATACAAAGGCTCTTTAACTCCTGGAAAAAAATCTTCCAATAGCGTAATATTACTCTTATCTTTATGATAACCATAGTGTTGGTGAAAAAAAAAAAAAAGGAGAGAATTGTACTTCTGTAGGTATTTTAGAATATTAGCAAGATCTTTATAATTTTCTATGACTTGTAAAATAACAATTGGTCGATACAAGTTTTTTTTTTACCATTTCTATAGATAGAATGTAATGGTTGTTTCATAAATTATATCTAACAATTAAGCCAGTTTAAAAAAATGCAATATTTTTCCTATACCAAGAGACTTTATAATGCCCATTTTATTAATGTTTTCTTAATTATGTGATCATTAGTTATATTTGGAAAGTAAAAGTTATAAACAATTGTATGAAAATTATTACTACTACCACTATATAAATTACTTGAAAACGTTTAATCTTTGTATGCAATCTGCGTAATATTTGTTTGACTTCTCTGCTTTGTCTTCAATAGTAACTATATGCGACATTTTTCTAGTAACAGTCACTAAAAGTTAATTTATTTTCTAAGAATCTTTCATGTTCCTTCGATACTTATTACAAGTCTTTCCGAGATAATTGTTCTTTTTGTAATCTTATTTACTTGTCACCGATTCTAATTTTTAGATAATTACACCTATTTTACATATGTTGGATTATTTCTGTAAATTATCCGCAATATCACTGATACAATTATTTCATCAGTGATGCATTCCTCATCTGTCTCCTTAATGCTTGAGTTGTCATAAACCCCATGATATGTTGGAAATCTTATATAATAATTAAGAACCACTAATATTGCTAGTTGATTTATCCCAGTATTACTTTGTTTATTAGTATACTTACTTTTACCGTTTCATTTACCGATGGTATTTTTTCAATATTAATTAGTCATAAAGTAATGATCTGATAATTTTACTAACAACTGAAACAAATTTGAAAGATTAGTAATGATATGATCTAAATATGATTGGGCCAGTCTTTTTCTCCTATATGATCATCTATGTTGCTTCAAGCCACTTGTTTGTAAAAAAGGGATTCTACCTTTGAACACGATATTTATGGTCATTCAAAACTTTATTTTAACAATTGCCTATAATCACAATATTTGTTTTTACTTGAATAATTTAACCCTAACTGCAAGTTATCCAAAATAATGCTTATATTTGTGTTAGGATATGTACATCTAGGAATTATATCAATTTGTAAAGAACCATTTGTTACATTTAAAACTTACCACTTTAGTCAGTTCTATATCATATGTTAGTAAGATTTGAAATGTCACTTCTATATAGAAAAATAAAAAAGGCCTCTACCCTCAGAATTAGACATCTTTAGTAAACTTTACAAAATATTATAAACTAAGCTTTGTACCAAAATTGTATTAGTTTCTCTTAACACTAGTATGTAAGAGTATCAATACATCTGCTGAATATTTTTAACTATCCCAGTTTTCTTTAAACTTTATATCGATATATGACATTGAAACAACTTCAATTTTTGAAGAACCTTTCACTTTCTTATCTGTAATCCACTTAAATTTAGTTGTTTGAAAATCATTTTTAATACAAGTCAAAGTTCATATGTAATAAAATTAGATTTACTTAATTTACTTTCTGCAAATCTTCTCATCGCAATATTTAAAATATTACTTCTTCCTTTTCGCTGTAATTTTTATTCTTCACAAAAGTTATTAGTTGGGTTAAATTTTCATTAATATAAGTGACAAATTGATCTTAATTTCCTAGAATTTATGAACAGTATTCGTAGTTTCATTCTTGCTAACGATTTTTCATAAGCCGTTCTATTATGGAACTGGATCAAGATAGGTGGGGAATGCATTCCTTCTTATTTAGGTAGTCTATTGTTTTAATATCTTCAAGTTTAGAATCTACTACTTAAAATGTATTAATAAGTTTACTTACAACTTTAAATTTGCTGTATTTTCACAGCAATATTTCGATTTTTACTATACTGATCTAACCTATTCACCTAAATTTAACTAAGATATCTTGTTCTTCCTACTGATTTTGTAGAATCTGTAGTTGTCCATTAGATTCTCCAACTTTTTTTAAAACTTATTTTGCCAATAAATTATCATACTGTTTAGAAAAAACAACAAAAAGTTCTTAATATGTAACATTTAAAGAACAGGTAATGCATTAAGTTCTCCCTTTATTTTTCTTAACAATTTTTTAGTAGTTGATTTGGTTCATCGCTGACTTCTATTATTTCTTCCTGTATGTTGCAAGGTGACATTGCTTATCTTGTACTAGACATATAGAAGAAACATTTCCCGATACATTCATTTTCACACAACCTCGTACGTTTTTACATTTGATGACTTCTTATAACCGACTTCAAAGATACTAGTACACTTACTGATAATTACCCT